GCTACTCAACCTTAGATGATGCAACAATAAACATTATAAAGGATAACCGTTTTTATATTTTAAAAAAGGATGATAATAATTTGTTCTTGGAATTAAATAAAGTTGTGAAATCATGAAAATTTATACATTTTTAATACTTGTGATTTTGGCGACCTTTCCTTGGTTTATATGTTGTTTAGCCGGCTTGAGGTCAGGGCGGGGGGGTGGAGTATAAACATAAATAAAAAGCTTTTTATTCAGTTTTAGTCCGGACTAAAAGCTTTTTATTTATGTTTATACTCCACCCCCTCCCTGACCTCAAGCCGGCTAAACAACACATTTTTTAATACTTTTAAGCTATATATTTGCAATAATAAAAATAAAATTTCTTCAAAACACAAATAAATCTATTATATAAAAATAAGTCGAGATTTCTGCGGGGATCAAATAACTCCAGAACGCACGAACCGATTTCCACGGTTTTGCATTCGTTGGAAAGGTCTCGGAATTTGTGATTTTTTGCAGTAAAGAAAATTCACGAAAAATTGCAACAGAAAGCGGGAAAATCATTTTTTGCATAAAGCGCCAACACTGACACATAGCATGCCATAATTCTCTACTCAGTTTATTTTATGACAAATCGAAATTGTGTTCATTTTTTAAAAAAATAAGTTATTCGTTTCAAATCAGTGCAATTGGAAACCAGCATTTGTATTTAGGGTGGCAAGTTGAACTGTGTAAATTATGTGGATTAGAGGTTAAATTAACCGCTCTGCCTATAGTCGAAAATGCCTATAGCACGACGTGTGAACATCGGTCTCCGCACAAGGCATGCAATCCAGCAACAAGTGTATTCACAGAACTTAAGCGAGGAGAGACGAAATGTAGTAAGCGAAAAGATCAACTGGTGTGCAGCATTTAAGCGGATCCCAACCAGCGTGGCAGGCTCCTAACAGCAGCCTTCCTCGACATAGCCATCGACCTCAGGACAAATTTCAAGAATCCTGAGATAAAGTGCTAGAAAATATTCGTTATCCGAAGGTGTCGCGGGTGAGACCGTGCCCCCGGTGTTGCCCATATCCGTTTTGTCCACTGGTAGGTCCCAACCGTTGTCCTCTCAGAGCCCCAGTTCCCTACCAGGGTGTCAGGCCCGGACTACCGTCCGAAATTGGTAAGGCGGATAATCAGCTTACCTTGAAAAAACCCTTTATGGCAATACCACCAACGAGACAGTTTCATCATTCCTCCATTGTCGGAACTTCCTATTTATTGAAACCATCTTTCCGCTATTCAGTTGGTCTCTAAAAGACTTTCGGATAGGGACCACTTAGTTAGTAGTTCTTGGTGATTTTAACATCCCAGGGGCTATTTGGTCCCTAGATAATTCCATTAACCACAATACATCACAAAAAATGTGGTTTACCAAAGAACACTTCACTTCCGTTTAGGATAATTTGCCGAAGGTGGCGTAACGGAGTTCGCCTGGCTTACTAGTTATGTTTAAAGTTTGACAGTTACAGTTATACATTCCCAGCTTTACATTTTCTCTACATCTACGGATCGCTTCTATGGCAGCTATATGATATAGTTGTCCGATTTTCATAAAATGTATACCAAAATTCTATAATAATAAGTAAAGCACGTATCTCAGAGTAGATGAAAATACGTTGAAAAAACAACGAAGTTATACTTTTTTCTATTACTTTCCCTATCGTTCCTATGGCAGCTATAAGATATAGTCGTCCATAAAATGTATACCAAAATTTTGAAATAATATCAGAAGCTCATATGTCAAAGTAGATTAAAATATGTTGAAAAACAGCGAAGTTATAATTTTTTCGATTAATTATCCGATCGTTCCTATGGCAGCTTTAAGATATAGTGGTCCGATTTTCATAAAATTTTTACCAAAATTCTGGAATAATATAAAAAGGTTATATGCAAAAAACGATGGAATAATATTGAAAAACAGCCAAGTTATAATTTTTTTTCAAAAATTTATCGAACATATGTATGACAGCTATATGATATAGTCGTCCAATCCGGCCCGTTCCGACATATATAGCAGTGAGAGTATATAGAAGACTATATGCAAAGTTTCATTCAGATAGCTTTAGAAACGGACAGACGGACGCACAGACGGACATGGCTAGATCGATTCGGCTATTGAAGCTGATCGAGAATATATATACTTTATAGGGTCGGAAACGTCTCCTTCACTGCGTTGCAAACTTCTGACTGAAATTATAATACCCTGCAAGGGTATAATGAGAACGCTTCAAATTTAGAAGAAACTTTTAAGCCAATTACAGCACATGCAATTCTTGCTGATAATAAGAAATTTAAAAATTTCAATGATGATAATGTACCTGAGAAAAATCATTGGTAAAGAAGGAGGAGCATCATGTCGCGAGAAAACAGTATTGAGCGAAAAGAAAGCGAAGATGAATTTTTTTCACAAGATTCTGCGAGTGCGTTCCAAAGTAAACAGGACTTTTTAATTTAGCACCCTCTAGTGGCGCCATCTATATGTCAACTGTTGCGTTAGAATTTGCTATCCTTTATCGACTTCCAGTACAAATTTCATGACATTTCATCTATTGGAAGTGAGGTTATTGCGTTTTAAGTGTCAGTATGTTTTTGTCATCGGTGCGAAAATGAGCTTCGAAAAAAGAGCCTTAATGTTTTAAAATTGGTAAAACTTTTTACCGAAACGTTTCAATTGATGAAACAAGTTTATGGCGACGATTGCCTATCCCGTGGCAGAGTGCACGAGGGGTTTCAACGTTTTCAAAGTGGTAATGAGGACATAAATGACGATGAACATGTGGACCAACCAAAATCCGTGATCACCGAAAATTCCATCGAAATTGTGCGAGAATTCATAAAAAAATCAGCCGAAATCATCATTGAAATATATGGAAATAGAATTGAACATCTCCAAAACATCGATTTATCGCATTTTGACCGAACATTTGGCCTTACAAAAGGTGTGTGCACGGTTTGTTCCGCATAAATTGACTAACGTCCAAAAATTGCTCCGCTTGTGTCCGACTATTTGACGAAAAATCACATTTTAACCATCAACCACTCCCCGTATTCACCTGATATGGCACCGTGCGACTTCTACCTTTTCGGAAAAATGCATTTGCCGATGAAAGGAAAGCGTTATGCAGACGTACAGGCCATTCAAAGGGGCTTGCACCGGCATACTGGCGGCCATACCGGGCAACGAGCTAAAACACTCGTTCGACATGCTTTTGGACCGTGCAAAACTCTGTATTAAAGCAGAAGGAGACTATTTTGAATAAAATAAATTTATTTTGCCGAAAAAACTATTTGTTCTGTCTAATTTTTAAAAGTCCTGTTTACTTTGGAACGCACCTTGTAAAAGATATTCTGATAATGATTCTGATTCAAATGAAGAAGAAAAAGAAAGATGAAAAAGAAGAAAAGAAGATCAAGAAAATGTAAATAAAGAAATGGGGTGGAATACGATCTCAACATTAGTCATTTAAAAGAAAGAAAGTATCTATACAATAGTTATGGGCCTCGAAGAGAAAATACTATATTAATGCTAGGTAATAGTGCACTTAAAATTCAAAAAAATAAAATGGAATTGGAAAGTGGAAACTCATGGACCTTAACACAAGGTCTATACTCATTAATTTTTCATAACGCGCCTTGTGACTATACTAAAGATGATTTAAAAATATATAAACAAATTTTAATTGAGACAAGTGCTCACAAAAGAAACTATGAACCCGACGGACAATTAAAAGGAAATCGCTCGAAAAATATTCATCAATTATTAGATGTTAGAAGACCCCTAATATCGATATATTATTTGAAGAACACTCTTGATATCGATATTAGTGTGTCGTGGCAAAAACACAACTAATAGGAGATGTCCACACTATTCTGCGTGGTCTCTTCCTCTTCCTGTTTTATTCTTCTGAGAGAGAAGACGTGTTTATCTGATTTTTATTAAATAAAATAAAGTGCAGTGCAACGAAAAGAATTGAAATAAAAGGAAATATTGAACTTGATTAAAACAAGATTAAAACTATATACTGGATGGGTGCTGATTAAATGGGATTGCGGAGATATTTCTGGATTCATCGTGCAGCTTCTTTTCTGAGAAAACAGAAGCTTCTGAGAACCTCTTTTAATTAATAGGTTATGGGCCCAGTCCCGCCAAGGAAACTAAAGCTAAGTATCAAATCAATTAATAAACTTAAAAATGGAAAAGAACAAAAGAAATATTAAACCTTTCGATGGAGAGAAATACTCTATCTGGAAATTCCGAGTAAGAGCACTTCTCAGTGAAACCGACGCCATTAAGGTTATAGACGGAACATGTGGTGAAAATATTGAGGAGTGGAATAAACTAGAAAAAACGGCGAAAAGTATAATAATAGAATATTTATCCGATTCGTTCCTCAGTTTTGCAACAACAGAGTGTAGTGCAAAAGAAATTCTGCAGAATTTGGATGCAATATATGAAAGAAAAAGCTTAGCGTCGCAGTTGTCTGTCCGTAAACAGTTATTATCATTAAAGCTAAAAGCCGATACGCCATTACTAAATCACTTTACAGTTTTTGACGATTTAGTAACTGAGTTGCTTGCTGCTGGAGCGAAATTGGAAGAGTTAGATAAGGTTTCTCACTTACTCTTAACACTTCCTTCGTCATACGACGGTGTAACTACTGCGATTGAAACTTTATCCGAAAATACTCTTACATTGGCGTTTGTAAAGAACAGACTTTTGGACCATGAAATAAAATTAAAAAATGCAAGTAAAGATACAAGTCTAAAAGTTTTACAAGCAGTCAAAAGAAACATTAGACCCAATAATTTTCAAAACAAAAACATAAATTTTAAGCAGAAATCAAAACTACACTTTAAAAATAAATTGAATATTAAAAAAAATGTTTCCATTGTGGCAAAAAGTGGGCACTTTAAGAAAGATTTCTACATATATTTGAGGGAGAAAGAGAAAGAAAATAATAATGACAAAAACAAACATGCACAAATGGCAGAAGCTTCATCTGATTCGAATCGTTCCGGACTTGCGTTCATGTTTAAACGTGAAGTAGAACAAGAAAAACAAATTTCATTTCTTCTGGATTCAGGAGCATCTGACCACTTAATTAATGACGAGGGCTTATATAAGAGTTATACGATTTTGGAAACACCTATAAAAATTGCAGTGGCGAAGTGTGGCCAATTTATAAATGCAACAAAAATTGGCACAGTGGAATTGTTCACTAATTCTGAAGCGAGAGTTATTTTGAAAAATGTTTTGTTTTGTTCAGATGTTCCACACAATCTCTTGTCAGTAAAGAAAATGCAGGATGCTGGATTAACAATCTTGTTTCATCCAGGAGGTGTCTCTATTAGTAAAGCTGATGAAATTTTAATAAATGGTAAATATTTAGATAATGTTCCTATAATTAACCTCTCAAGTCCAAATAGGGCATTTCTTTCAAATTCTGTTAAAACTAATAATTATAAGTTATGGCATGAACGATTAGGGCACATAAGTAAGGAAAATATTTAGAAATTAAATCACATAATATGTTCGGAGATATTGAGATGCTTAAAGATATAAAACCTAATGACGACATATGTGAAGCCTGTATTAGCGGCAAACAAGCTAGACTAAAATTTGAAAGATTTAAAAATAAAGATTATATTAATAGACCATTATTTGTTGTCCACTCAGATGTCTGTGGTCCGATTTCCCCTGCGACAATTGATAAAAAGAATTATTACGTTATTTTCGTTGACCAATATACCCACTATTGTGTCACATACCTATTAACATATAAATCTGATGTATTCTCTGTATTTAAGGATTTCATCGCTAAAAGTGAAGCACATTTTAATTTAAAATTGGTTAATTTATATATTGACAATGGAAGACAGTATCTATCTAATGATATGCGAGAATATTGTGTAGAAAAAGGCATTAGTTACCATCTTACAGTCCCACATACTCCGCAATTGAATGGTGTATCCGAAAGGATGATAAGATCCATTACAGAGAAAGCACGCACTTTAATTAGTGGTGCGAAATTGCAGAAGGAGTTTTGGGGTGAAGCTGTTTTGACAGCTACATACTTAATTAATCGAGTCCCAACCAATGCATTAAATGAAAGCAAGAAAACTCCTTATGAAATGTGGCATAGTAGAAAGCCCTGTCTCAAATATTTGAGAATTTTCGGTTCAACTGTATACATCCACAAGAAAATTAGAAAAAGAAAGTTTGATGAGAAATCGTGGAAGGGTATATTAGTTGGATATGAACCGAATGGATATAAGGTGTGGGATGGAAAATCAGGAAGATTTTCAGTTGCTAGAGATGTTATTTTTGACGAAAATAACATGATAAACTCAAGAGTTGAGTTAAGTGAAGAAATCATTGATTTCGATAATGGGATTATCGAAAGTTTAGATGATGATTTCAATAAAAACAATCAAATTGATGATCAATTGGAAATTGATAGTGATGGTTCTGATGGAGTTTCAGATGGAAGTCAAAGAAAGATGGTAACAGAAAAGAATGCCGATCCAGATGTATCTGGTGATGTTGAATCTAATGATTCAAAGATAAATGATGAAACAATTCGAAAAGTGAACGGATAAGGAATAAGCCGAAATTGTCTTATTGGGATATGTTAAATAATTGTGTAATGAATGCTCAGTGTTCATTAGATAATCTACCAACTTCATTTAATGAAATAAAGAATAGAGGTGATAAAGAAAAATGGGAAGAGGCAATAAATGAAGAGTTAGATTCACACTTACTAAATAACACTTGGACACTTATGCAATTACCCGAAAATAAAAATGTTGTGGATTGTAAATGGGTATTTACAATAAAACGGAATGAATTTGGTCATCCGATTAAATATAAGGCGAGACTCGTGGCTCGGGGCTTTACACAAGAATACTTAATTGACTATAATGAAACCTTTGCACCTGTAGCAAGAATTTCTAGTTTTAGACTGATTATATCTATTGCTAATCAGTATAATCTTATGGTACACCATATGGACGTTAAAACAGCCTTTTTGAATGGTACACTTAAAGAAGAAATTTATATGAAAATACCGGATGGTCTGGTAAATGAGAAAAATGAAGTTTGTAAATTAAATAAGGCAATATATGGTTTAAAACAAGCTGCAAGGTGCTGGTTCGATAAATTTGAGCTAGTACTGAAAGAAATTGGTTTTGTTAATTCACCAGTAGATCGATGTATATATCTTCTTGATAAAGGAGATATATCTTCAAATATTTATGCTCTATTATATGTAGATGACTTGGTAATATCAACAAAGAATAAAGAAACTATGAAAAAATTTTAAATCATATCTAATGAATAAGTTTAGAATGACAGATTTAAATGAAATTACATTTTTCTTAGGTATAAAAGTAGATAGAACTAAAGATCAAATAAAGTTAAGTCAATCTGCATATATAAAGAATACTATTTTAAAATTTAATATGGAAAATTGCAATCCAGTAAAATGTCCTCTTCCCAATAAGCTTAATCATATGGCCTTAAATTCAGATGAAAAATGCGATGCACCTTGTCGAAATCTAATAGGATGTTTGATGTACATTATGATATGTACAAGACCAGATCTGAGTGCATCAATAAATCTTTTAAGTCGTTACTGTGAAAATAATAGTATAGAGTTGTGGCAATGCCTTAAGAGAATTTTAAGATATCTAAAGGGTACAATAGATTTGAAATTAATTTTTCAAAGAAATAAACATTTTAATAACATTTTGGTAGGGTACGTAGATTCAGATTGGGGAGGCAGTGAGTCAGACAGGAAAAGCACAACTGGGTATATCTTTAAAATGTTTGATTCGAATATGATTTGTTGGAATACGAGAAAACAGAGTTCAGTAGCTGCTTCTTCAACAGAAGCTGAGTATATGGCATTGTTTGAAGCAGTAAGGGAGGCAATTTGGCTAAATTCTTTATTGACTAGCTTAAAACTTAAAATAGAAAATCCAATTAAGATATATGAGGATAATCAAGGTTGTATATGTATTGCCAAAAACCCTTCATGCCATAAACGAACAAAACATATAGATATAAAATATCATTTTACAAGGGAACAAATAGAAAAGAATCTAATTGAACTTGTATATATTCCCACAGATAAACAACTAGCGGATATGCTAACAAAACCGATACCAGCGCCACGGTTTTGTGAATTGCGAAACCAAATGAGTTTGATGGATTAATCAAATGAAGGAGAAAAGGATCTCATGGATATGGACTGAACCAAAATAATTTTTTTTTAATTTTTTATTTTGCTAAGAAATATTTTATAACGTAATTTCTAATTTCAAACTGGTTTGATTGAGGTTTTTCTGGGTTTTCCCTCAATCCAAGCAACGAATGTTGAACCATATTGTAATTTCCCAGAGCCTGCCTTATTGCTCAAGTTTGATTTAATCTTAATATATAAATAACAAACTATTAGTTATGTTTTTGAGGAGGTGTGTTAGAAGACCCCTAATATCGATATATTATTTGAAGAACACACTTGATACCGATATTAGTGTGTCGTGGCAAAAACACAACTAATAGGAGATGTCCACACTATTCTGCGTGGTCTCTTCCTCTTCCTGTTTTATTCTTCTGAGAGAGAAGACGTGTTTATCTGTGTTTAGGAGTGGGGTGGCTGGTAAATCCTCCGCAAAAGGATCAATAAAAGTTTATCCCACGAAGTAGAAAAACGTAGAAAAAAGTCCAGAAATTCGGGGGTCGAAAAATGACGTTGGCATGGAGCGCCTTTTGCATGCATTTATTGACATTCGTTTTGGAACTAAACTTAGCTTAGCCTAAGGGCCCGCTGCCGGCCGAGAAGCCCAGCTTAACGCCGAGAGAGCGGGAGAGCGGGAGAACCGTGAACTAGAGCGGCGTAGCCGTCCCTAGAAGCGAGCGACGATCGGGAACACGGAGTGTGCGATCGGTAATACCGAGGAGCGGAGAGCGGGCGAGCGTTGCTAAGCTGGGAGCGCTTAAGCTTTTGGACGCTCGGTGGCCAGAGGGGGAGCAGGGGCCTCCTGGCGTAAACATTCTCCCCCCCCTTGCAATCACTCGGGTTGCAATAAACCCGTACAGGACGATGGTATGGAGGGGCGTCAGAGCGCCGCGTAGATCGTTGATGCTGGAGCGACGAGGAGCGATGAAGGACGGCTGAGTGCCAAGGAGAGGCGGATGATTGCCATGGAGAGGCGGGAGCTTGTCGCAAGGAGCTTGCCGAACAAGGCGGAGGCGTCGAATGCCGTGACCAGGACGCATCACTGTGCGCTAGAAGACGTCGAACTTTCCGTAGCGGACGAACGTTGGCAGACTCGGCAATGGTAGGACTAAGAACCTCGAGTACGTCTGCCTTCCAGAGCGATCGCGGTGTGTGGAAATGAAGCCCTCGTATGTGATCTGGATGAAAGAAGATGACATGGAGATGAGTGATGGTCAAGTAAATGCGAACTAGAAGTATGGGGGTGACCGATGCTGCGAGCGGAGTGGATGCTCTGGACGGTCATGCGGATGCAGGAGAGTGTGGTGGTGCTGATTGCACGTCTTGCATCGGTCACCGCTGCGGCAGGTTCCCTCGGAATGTTCGTGGGCCAAACAGTTGGAACAATAGCGGTGGTCGAGAACCGCTCGGAGCCTCGGAGAGTTTGAGGAACTGTTGGCACTTCCGGAGCGGATGGTTCCCTTGGCAGACTCGACATTGGTAGGATAAAATACCTCGGGAACGCCTGCTCTTGCTGTCGTCGTACGGAACCCAGTAATTGGAGGAATCGGCAGAAGTGGTCACTCGTATGTAGAACGAGGAAATTCTTTGGGTGGGTGCAGGTCGAGGACTAGATGGAGCGGAGGGTCTTGGAACATTAGTAGTAGGATTGTCGCGGTGCAGCAGAGTGTGATGCCGGCTGTGGCACGTAAAGCAGGAATGGGCACTAGTACAGTCCCGTTGCTGGTGCCCTCGCGAAAAACAATTCAAGCAGAGTTGCTTTCTTCGGATGAAGTCTCGTCCGCTCATTGACATTCATGTCTAGGGAAAAGCGGACATATACGGATAGGGGTGGTCTTCTGAACATAGATTAAACCTTCTCGGTGTTGGAACCACCCTAGCTTCGTACGAATTGAGCCTGCGCACCGGTGGATTGGCATTTGCTGACCTTGGCGGAAAATGCCCAGAGCCGCTAGGCCTGACGTCGTCGATGGCCTCCAAAGTGTCCAACTCACGCCAGGTTTGAATTTCGGCCTTATTGTGAATTGATTGCTCCCACAAGGAGAGCGTAATCTTGGGAAGCTTCGAGGAGACCAATGGAGGACATTTGCAACGCGGTCAAACAGCTTTGAATTGTGCCTTGGAGCTCTTTTTAGAGCGACTCCGGATTCTTGAGGAACAGCCTGGATGTTAAAAAGAATCTTTAACTGACTGTTGACTAACAAGCGCTTATTTTCGAAGCGGTCGGAAAGGCTGCTCCATGCTGAGACGAAACCCTCGTTGGTCAGAGGGGCCTTTGAAACGATGGCATGAGCATCGCCGCTTGTCTTTGAAAGTAGGTGGAATAACCTCTCCACAGGCGTAAGTCGGGAATTATTAATGTAAATCGCCGTGAAGAGGTCCCGGAAGGTGGGCCACCGAAGATAATCGCCTGTGAAGACCTCGGTGTCCACTGGTGGCAATCGACAACCCATGGAAGGGGTGTGGGCGCAGGGGCGGAAGCCTGAATGGACTGGGAGGCGGCCTTGTCGATAATTTCCCTGCAGCTGTACAAGACACCTCGAATAGACGGAGTAGCACTCACTGTACTTGGATTCAAGCTCAGTGGCGGTGGCTGTACTGTCGGAGGACACGGAAAGAAGATCGGAGCAGCTTTCATAGCTTTTCTCCACCTTGTCCCACAGGGCCTGAATTTGGTCCCGATGGATCCGGCACATGGCGGGGGAAAACCTCTCCGTGTCAGGAGCGCTCGGAATGTGGATGTTAGCTTCGAATTGGCTAACACGGGCTGTCGTCGAAATGAACTTTTGCAGGGCGATGTCTAGGGCATTTTGAGCCATTTTGGAAACCGACTGAGTGAGTCTTGGCGAAGGAACGGGACCAGAATCGACGGACTTGTCGCTTTATGCCCTTGGGTTGGCAGTGGCTTTTTGTTGTCTCCCGTAGACAAACTCAATTTCTGATTCGGCGGATCAGCGGTTGTCGACTGACCTGAGCGAAGGGATGCCTGATTCGACGTGGAAAGCAGAGTCGGGAACCAGAACGTAGACCGTACTGTCCGTGATCGTGGTGGAGTAGGAAGCAGAGATATCTATATATATTTCGTGGCTCGGAAGTGGAGTTTGTCTAAATTGGAAAATTAATTTATTAATTATAATCCGTGATAACAAAAAAATATTAATTAATTATTAATGTCGGAAATAATTAATGTGAATTATTTAAATATTTGCACGTAATTAATACGGAGCCGGAAAGGCGGAATTAAAAATAAACCTTGGCTTTGACTTGGGAAAAACTCACTGGGCTATGCCGTCGGCAAAGCAGTGCATAAGTGAGGCGCCTATGAGAGACGAAAGGCACAGAAACCGAAAAGCAACAACAACAGCACGGCTGATGCGGCGGTTAGTGCGGGGGTCCGAAAACAACCATAAATCGAAGTTTGGTTTAAGAAAAGCCGTCGGCAAAACACAGCCTAAGTGAAGAGCTCGGAGAGAGACCAAAACGGAACTCGAGGAACAACAACAAGAACAACACGTCGCTGCGGCGGTTGTGTGGATGTGGAGACAAGATCTTGGTTATTTTTTGTTATTGTTTGATGGTTATTTAATTCCTGTATGTAAGGTAGAAAATTTAAATACGTATGTAATTGTATGAGCATGCAAAATATGTATGGAAAAGTTGTCTTTATTTTGTACAGTGGAAACCCGATAACGGAACTGCTGAGGGCGTACAAAAAATATTGAAGGCAGAAAATATATTTTGTACAGTGGAAACCCGGAGAACTGGACTGGAGTTGTGAGGGCGTACAAAAATATTGAAGGCCGAAAATATATTTATATATTGGCATAAGTACAGTAGAGCATCGAGAAGTGGACTGTATTATTTGAAGTTGAAGGAATTGTGTTCAAGAAAATATCGAGGCGGCGAGAAACACACAGTGACCGAATTATACATATGAGAATAAAATCTCGGGTAGGGGCCGAATTCGGCAACACGAAATATTCACTGTAGAATTTTCACTGCCGCGGCGCTCGACTTGAAACACACGTTCACTTATTATATTATCTTTTTTAATATATTGGTCGGCTGAAGGTTGCGGATGTCAATTACCACTCTAAGTAAATGACCAACCAACTCGCGGAGTAATGCGCGCCGATTTACATATGCACGTATGTATGTGCGTATATCAAGACCGTTTTAGTCGTTGATGTACGGCCGAATATAGGGACGTATGTATGTACATATGTACGGAGAAATGTACAACGGGCCGAAGAAGTGGAAGAAAAACGGAGATAATTATGCCGTTGCCGAACGAAATGCAGGCAAATGGAAGTGGAGAAAATTGGCTTTGGAAATGATTTTTAAGTTGTCTAATTGCCGTGGTGTCGGAGAACTCGGACGAGGAGTTGACAAAAAAATCGTTCGCAGGTTGAGCGAAATTTAAATTTCGGACAACTGTTGACGACCGACAATTAGAGACGGGAGGGAACTTTACTTATCTTTTTCTGCGGCGGCACCACCAAAGCTGCTGGGAAAAAAGGATTCCGGACGATATCCTTATCCGGCTCGAAGGACCATGTTTAGGAGTGGGGTGGCTGGTAAATCCTCCGCAAAAGGATTAGTAGAAAAATCCGTCCCACGAAGAAGAAACGCAGAAAAAAGGTCCAGAAATTCGGGGTCGAAAAATGACGTTGGCATGGAGCGCCTTTGCATGCATATATTGACATTCGTTTTGGAACTAAACTTAGCTTAGCCTTAAGGGCCCGCTGCCGGCCGAGAAGCCCAGCTTAACGCCGAGAGCGGGAGAGCGGGAGAACCGGTGAACTAGAGCGGCGTAGCCGTCCCTAGAAGCGAGCGACGATCGGGAACACGGAGTGTGCGATCGGTAATACCGAGGAGCGGAGAGCGGGCGAGCGTTGCTAGCTGGGAGCGCTTAAGCTTTTGGACGCTCGGTGGCCAGAGGGGGAGCAGGAGGCCTCCTGGCGTAAACAATCTGATTTTCATTAAATAAAATAAAGTGCAGTGCAACGAAAAGAATTGAAATAAA